GGAAATCAGCCAGTCGAAACTGTAGTCAACGAAACTTACCAGGATTACTCGAATTATCGAAGCTAATTGTGCAGGATGACCCCTGTTACCGTATGAGAGGAACAGCAAAGGCAACGTCGAGCGGTGACCAAGCGCCAATAGGGCATCGGTAGGGCGACGTTCGTTTTACCAATCACTGACCGCATTTTGATCTTGTATCTGATATGGAACGGACATGGATAAAACTCAAAGACAGCGAGTTCTATCGTTCAGCGTTGAGCGATGAGCCAGCCATCACTCCGCCGCTCCGTTATCCAATTAGATTTACGGCCGTCGGTTACGAGCGAGTTGCTTCGCGCAGCGAGCATCCCTCAACTTAAGACTTGGAGAAGAGGTCTTTGAATAGGAGCCAACGAAGGAGAAGAATGCTCCACGAACTCATTGCTCCCTCAGGCGTTTCGAGTTGCAAGTGCATCGGCAGTTCGTTAGCTTTTCACATTCGAGCAAGGCCTGACGCACAAACACTTGTGCTAGTTAGTTACTAGTAAAACATTGTTAGATCGATGGTTCTGCTCATTATGGCCTGATTCGAAATGGCGTCAGTAAATACGATTAACATGTGAGCAAAGTCGAAAACCGTGTGATCACCAAGTAAAGCGAAACTTGGGTACTTGTACAACACTGGCTTGCTAAGCTTTTTACTTCAACAGCTTTCTGAACGCTCTTATGCACTGTGTGACCTGTAAACGATTCAAAGGAAGCTTAGAAAGGCGTGATATTTGTGTTCGTTCAGACAAACGGCAGAAATAAGGTTTCTTCAATGGCTATGATCTATCTCAGAGTTCGGCTAGGTCTTAAATACTCATTTCGAAGTACACTGTTAGCGTATCTTTCCTTGTCGAGACAGCAGGATCACATTGCGATGGTCTGGACACATGATCACAAAAAGAAATTCAAAGAGAGGGGGGGTCGTTTAAAAAGCTCTCCTCCGCAGTTCAAAGAGACAGTGAGATGATATACAAGTTCAGGCAGCATAATTTAATTGGACTGTTTAAATTTCCAGCATTTGTTTACGTATATTTTCCTTTCACAAACTGACGTTTCAGAACAGGCTTGGTCTGTCTTCAGAATTGCAAAATGCTATGTATCGGCTATGTTCCAGAAATACATTATACTTGATTCCAGGAGAGAAAAATGGATTGTAGAAAGACCTCCAGACCGATGACAGGATGCGCTAAGCTCGTTGGATGAAGATGGATAAGAATTGCAGAAAATATGAGTTTATGGTGGATAGAATCAGGTTGATTCCGATTTTTACGTAAAAGGATATTTTCATGTGGTCGAATTGACCCCCAGTGAGTTACCGTGCTGTCATTGTTCATTAAACATCCATTTGATCGCCTCTGCCCGCATGTAGTTGATATCTGATCCCAAGTTACGGATGTCATAGATTTTTGTGTGAATAGTAATGCTTCCTCACCATTGTGAATAAGATATTGTTCCCTTAATACTTTTCACTTTTCCAACACAATGGCGTATGATCTGGTCAAAGTATTTTGTACCAAAGCACATTGTTTCTCCATTCCTCTTTGGGAACTTTAGAATCTTTCGTTTGTCTCCTGAATAAGCCTACTTTCTGGAAACCGTCTGTACCGTTATTTGTCAGACTTAGTTCGATCAGAGTTTCTGTGTGTTCTGGCTTACGAGCCGCTATTTTTTATTTAGAGAATAGACAAAACGATGAAAATACTATGCTTTCTTCTGGAGACAAAATAAGCCTCTTCCGGCAGGTGGCGTTCCACCATGAAGAAAGGGGCGCCAAGGATGGCTCTCTCATGAAATTGTAAGAAAAATCGACTTTCAACAGTTTTGGGATTACGGACATAATTAAGTTTAGGTTTTTAATCATTGTGTGCTTCTCTTCTAAGATCATAATCCAGCATGATAATATTCATAATTCACTCGGAAGTGCTTGTCTCATAAACACTAAACCAGAAGCATTGGCAAATTTCGTCAAAGTTGAGATTCCTTCAACGAGAAAAGAATATAAAAGTCTGAACCAGATGCAATCACAAGAACACGGATTCAATGAGCTGCGATCGAGGCGCAAATTCGTGTGTAGGCAACCATCTCATTATCTGAATTACACTACTAGAATAATTAAGTTTGATATACTTGAGATTGGGTCTCAGACTCTGATAGATGTTGAGGTTTCTTCCATGGTCAATCGTCTTCTGTATGCCGAGCACTTTAGCCTTCAATAAGTACTTACAACTTTCACGTCAAGTTTATTTGTCAAACGTGACAGTATTTTATGAAGACTTCTTTAAGAAGGTCTTCCATGGTTGCATTTGCATTAGCCAATATAATTCGGCCTGTTACTGTGGAGGAAAATAAAATATGAGCGTCATCTATGAGTTTATGTCCATAATCGCACCGTCCCCTTGCTTCTAAATCTTAGGATACTATGAAATCTACTCACGGTTCTTTCGTACTGTAGAATAACTCCTGTTTGTAGATGTGAAAAATGGTTTTAATTTCGAAGGATTGTGGCTGGTGCGATAATTTAGGCAGTCGCCGGAAGCATCACACTGAAAAATAATAACTGAGATAGTATAAGCATGTGATAAGGATATCATACAGGTAACTCAGAAGGTAGATTTTCTTCGTAAAGTCATAAGGACGACGGCCAAGGTGCAAATCAAGGACCCGGTAACTGGATTAAAAGTAACGAATGGCTTCGAGGTTGGCGGATTGACAGAGATATGGAACAACTGAAGAAACATCTAAAGCTACTACGTCCGGTATCAAAGGCAATTGCAGACTCAGAAAATGAATAAAGGAAACGGATGAACAAATCCAATGATGGATGAACTTCTGTCGATGTATCGAACATCTTCCATATTTCACTGAATACAGCGACGCAGCGTTGCATCTATGCACCGCAGTTCAAGTGTCATTGAGCCATGACCTAAATAATGCAATAGTTTTCGAGGAGCAAGTTGCCAATGCGATCATATTGCGCAAATTTGAGCAAATCACTCATATTTTCACTTTCTTTCAAGTTACAATTTACGGTTTCGTGATCCTTCTCAGAGTCTGTTCCGTTTATGTGGGTGACCCTGAAAATCATTTTCATACTGTTCTCATTTGCATGTAATTTTTAACAGCTTCAGAAATGAAATTGCCGTGATCAATTGCCTTCGATATCTGATCGTTCATGATTCGGTTATGTTCGCATTTTTAAACTACTTCGTGGTTGAAAAAAACAAGATCGATTCCCGGAATTGAAAAATGAACACAGACAAGTTTCCAGGCCGAATGTACGAAAACCGGACCAAGGGACATTTCCTGTTAGGTCACCTTGCCTCTCTACTCCTGCTTTCCTTTCGGTTTTTATATCTGGTCTTCCACACGCTCAAATTCTAATCCGATGTGCCGGTAAATTTCTGGACTACATCTTCAACAGAAAATGTTTACTCTACCTTAGCCTTATCTTCCATAAGTCCTAAACTGGTTTGGTACCATTCTGCAACATTGGAACAGTACTTAATGTTGCATGGAATTTTACTGGCGGTGTGGGCCTCCGCAATCAAGCAGGATAATCAAGTTGATTCGGTGAATAAACGCTGATTGTTGCTGCAACTCAATGAGTGCATCAGAAGAGTTCCATATTGCAGTAGAAATCGAGGTTGAAGAAGTTGCTGGACTCTCCTGATTGATATTCAGCATAATCATCGACAGTATTATTTGCAAATCGTAGTTCCAAGATAAAGCAAAGAGTATTTCGTTAGTCTAAAGGGCACCTGACGGTATTCTGCAGAGTTCTTGCAGAACTTTAGCGTGCAAAAAAACTTCCTGTTCCAGTGAGGTCCCAAGTTTTTTACTCCCCATCGAACCCATGAGATTAATCAGAATCATGAGAGCAATCTTCGGTTGCTCAAATTTTTTACTGCCATCTTGAATCGTATCTGGCCTCGGTTGTGGAGTAAGTGCATAGAACCCAAGAGATCAGCTTTGAACTATGAACATAGCAGATTTGAATCCACTCAAGGAACAACCTCTATCCGTAAGGCAAATTCCCTCGAGCAAGAAATGAGTCTCACATTGTTCCAGTGCAACCAGCCAAGAAACGAGGAATGGGGACAGCGCGGAACTCTGATCTGCTCATGCCATAATGCACGACGGCGATACAGTCCAAGGCGAAGCGAACGATCTTGTAACTTTACATCGCCTTGATCCACCTAATAGTTGAATTATCCAGTGTAACAACAAATACAAGGTGTAACTCAGATATCCAAGTACAGGCGTCATCGAAGGAAATGAATGTAGCTAAATATTGACTACCGTGAAGCCCTCGTTAATAGTTGAGGTAGAAAGCCTGCAGTGAACCCCAAAATGTTACCTGAGAGGGCACTGGCAGCCTGGCATGTTGTGGATGCTGCCTTTGAGGCAAATCAAACCACAGAGGCGTTTGACTAAAAGCTGTGCAGATGGATCAACAGTAAACATGTGCATTCCTTATGTTTCGCCGAGAGCACTATGAAACACCATCTCAGTGACCTTGCGAGCGATGCTTACCGTTTGGAGCGAATCTGATATTTTCTTATTCCTCAACGTCTGGTGCAATTATTAAATATGACAGGAAAATGACTCAAATGACCTCGATCGATTTCACAGAGTTTTTAAATTGAAAACGGATCTAGCATTCTTTACGACTTTCAAACTGCGCAACGCCAGAAAAAATGCAGAACATTCATTGTTGCGATTAAAACGCGGCTATTGATTATCGACCCTTACGATGCCAGCTGTTAAATCCAAATTGTGAATGCATATTTGATTGAATTCTTGTCAAAGCTATTTTTGACCATCATCGTTTAAAAACTATTCTTTCGCTGAATGTGACAGCGTTTTTCTCAAACACCTCCGTTCGCTCATCTACAAGCTGTGCATCTTTTCACTGACGAAGATGTCCCAGTTGGCCTTACTCTGTGATGACGGTTCCCCACATCATAACCGTGCATTCTCGCTGCTGCCAGGCAAGAGATTGAATTCTTGACCATGTGCCGCTACGCTGGAGAATCCACACTGGCGTTGTTACCTCCTCAAATCTGGAACACGTACATGACATCGGTTTTCTAACACATTCTCCAGAGTTCTTACAGGCAGTTCTCTCAGCCATCGGAGATACCTCAGACAGGATGGCCCTAGAAGTTCTTGATAGGAGATAAAAGTACTGAAATTGCGAAGGAACATGTTCAGCGCTGATGTTCAGATGGACGGCAAGACACTGAATGTGGGAATTAATTTTTCTACATATGAAACTCACAGAATTCGTCAGAATATTTTACACTCACGCACTGCGTCGTTTAAGCAATAAACGCTATGGCTTGCGTTGGTCATTGAGGTTATTATCGTACATACCAAAACAGTGCATGAGGTAATTGGTTTGTTTACACTCCAGGCACCGGGCTTGACCTCAGATGCAACGAGAATATTCTCTTTCTAACAGCTGATTCAACTGAACAAGGAATTCGTCCCAGAGTATTTCGTTGCAACCAGTCGATAAATGGGTAGCACGAAAATACGGCAATGCTGTATGATGCGCTCATCGCGACTGAGACTGGCTTTGACAAAACGGATGGCCATCTGAAGATCAGCAAATGTGTAAACATATGAATCGTAAAAAGTGAATGAAAAGCATGGCTCTATGAAACTTGCGTTCTGCATGCATTTTTTGTATGGAGGCGACAATAGACG